AAAAAACTATAAATTATAGTACTAATAGTTTAAATATTAAGATTAAAAATATAAATATTTGAGAATGTTAAAAGATATTTGAAAAAAGATATTGAAAAATATTTGAAATATTAATATTGAAAGATATTAAAAATATTTGAAATATTAATATTAAAAAATGTTGAAAGATATTTGAAATATCAATATTAAAAGATATTTCATTATTTCATCAAAAAATTTAAAAAGGATTTTCAAATATACTTATTTTAGTAAATATATAAACTATGTATAACAATTAAATTGAAAATGTAAATCTCAAATAAAGAGAATAATATAATATTTAAAAATAGAGATATAATTATAAAGAGTAAATATAATAAGAAAAATAAATATATAATTATAGAAAAATAAAGATAATTATAGGATAAATAATAAAATTATAGAAAAATAAAATTTCAAATTTCATATAATTAAAGAAAGATTATGAAATTAAGGAATTTTATGTTACTATGATAATATTATAATAGTTATAATATCTATTACTATATAAAATTATTACTTTAATTATTCTAATAATTTTTATTTTAATATTAATATAAATAATTATTATATTAAAATAAATCAAAAAATTTATAATAATTAATAGATAAAGTCATTATTAAACTTAAAAAACTAAACTAAAATATAATATAATTAAAATAAATAAAAATATAAATAATAATTATTAATTAAAATCAAAATTATAAAAATAAAAATATTAAATCAAAAATATAAAAATATTAAAATAAAGATAAAATATCAAATCAAAATCAATATAATATTATAATTAAAATTCAATCTTAACTTTATATGATTAAAAAAATAAAACTTAGTAAAATAAAGAATATTAGTATAATTAGAAAAAATTAAAAGATTACTATTATTATAATAATAAGTTTTTAATTATATTTTTCAAATAATTTAATTCAAAATAATTTATTTTAATTTGAAAGAATAGATTCTTTTATGTATTTTTCAAATATAAAAATTATTATAATATTACTAACTAATAATATTTAAAATATATATTATAATTTTATATCAATATTTTGATATTAATATTTTAAATCAAGATTTTAAAATTAAGATTTTAAAAAAAGTAAATATAAAAGAAAAGATTTATAAATATATTAACTAATTAATTTTTAAAATATTACTAAAAATAATTATGTATATGATATATTAATATGATATATTTATGATTAAAAAAGTAAATCTCAAATTTAGAGAAATAAAATATAGATAAAAATAAGAAAAAATGTAAATATAATATTTAGAAGATAAATATAAGATTTAAAATATAATTGAATAGTATAAATATATAATAAATTATAAAAAGAAATAAAAAGAGAATCTTATATAATTAAAAAAATTATCAAAATAAAGAAATTTATATTACTAAATTATATTCTATTATAGAGGTGTTCTATTACAGAGGTCTATATGTTAATATATATGATTAATTGGTTTATAAAAAAAGTTCTTTGCAAGAGGTTGTTCCTTGAAAAATAATCTACCTCTTCCCTCTCTTTATTTTCAAAAAATCGAGCAAAAAATAGTGGCTTATTTTCGGGAAAATACGGTTAGTAAAGATTCGATATAATAAAGATTAATTAAACCCATGATACATGTATATAGTAAAGCATCGAATCCCCTCAAAATACATGTAGGTAAATTTTCGATATACATGTACATGCCTCATTTAACTCGTCTTGGAGATATATTATCTAACGATTGAGCATGTTTTATAAAATTTGATGCTTTCGGAATTACATTTTTGTGTTTTCGACTGTCAGGATATTGGAACGACACCAAAATAAAAAGCTTTCTTTAATACGTCAAACAAATGTATGTCGTTTTTTAGCACAAACGAATGTACATGTACATGTATACTACATGTGCATGTACTATGTTATATCACAAACCAATTATAAAGTTGAATGGTCTAATGGAGATAAAAATATCGACAATCTAATAAAAGAATGTAGCGAAATTAATTAAGAATGATAAAATATTCGATGAATTCCTTTTGAAAGATGCACCAACGTTGAATATGGGATAATTTATAAAGCTTGGATTATCATGAAGAAAATAAATTTAAACGAGAAAGAGAACAGGGAAGTTGGTTTGAAATTATTACACAATTCAAAGCAAATTACTCCGGAATTTATAAACGTGGTGAACATCTTCTAAAATGAAATTTTTTCTTGTTTCAGATTTTTCAAAATAGAATAATAATTATATAAATTATTAAAGCAATGTGACGAAAAAAACCGATTAATACAAGGATTTCCTTTTGGACAAAACTTATTGCCTTTTCCAACTCTTTCCTGAGCCGCTCCATCTAACATAATAATTTTCTCTTCCGTTGCACATGGAATAACTGAAAAACCAGTTATTTGATAGTAATTCCAATTATGAAAAAATTGACTTTGTTTCAAATGCTGGAATCCTATTCCAGAAAACAGACCAATTACTAACCTAACAACAATTGGTGGGACGAATACGAGTTCATGTACTTTGCATTTTCAGAACTAACATTTACAAGTGTTAGTTTGTTTGCTCCCCATGAAAGTGAAAAATTTAATTGATATAATTTCTAATTAGCATCTTTTTCTTTGGTGATTAAAACAGATTTCGATATTAGTATACCGAAGAGAATAACGATAACGATAAGGAGCAACCGATTTAGATACTAAGTTTAATGCGTAGCCACTAACGCTAAAAAACATTGCTTCAATCTATACGTATACACTATTTATCGTTATTATTTTAAATATTATATTAACAATATTCTTATGTGTATTTTCATAAGGAAACAAAAGAAATGTTTATGAATGAACCATTTGAATGGACATTGTTCATTTTCATGTCATCATTACATTTATCGTTCAAGCCGTTATCCGAACAAAACGCAGAGCGAGTTTACACGCGGCGAATGTTAACACAAAATAGAACCTAAATTGCTTTCAATACATCGATCGTAATGAAAGATACACGCTGGATAGTTCAAATCTGTATGTATCATTGAAAAATGTTGAGGTTCTATTTCTAAAAATCAGGTCAACTGTTGAGGAACTTACACACAGAATGAAAAGGTTTAGTGGGAAACTAAGGTGAATAATAATAGAATTTGCAATCTATCTGATTGACTTCCAGTTGTTGATACTGTGTTTCCTTAACCCATTTGATACCAATTCCATTATTGACTAATCGTATAAGAATAGTTTTAGCCAGACGGACTCTTTCTAGACAAAGACACAACAAGAAAGGAAATGCAAAGCCATTTATACTGCACATATGACTATTGTTGTCATCAAATGGGATTGGATGTTTAGAGAGAACGTATGAGCGTTAATTCGTCATACTGTACTTTAATAAATTGCCTTTACGCGAAAATCATCTAAAATTTTAATCTTACGATAACGATTGGCATGCGCTATCGTTATTAGAAACAAAAAAGCGGTAAAACTTATATATTTTGAATTGTTCATTTTTTTACCTATCCATAAAATGTAATTTACTTTGGATTGTGCAGTCGATTTATACGCAACAACATCGTGTCCATGGATCTTTTAAATTCATGATCTCAACTCGTTGTAACTGTGCAACCATACTTGTCACAAAACCCTCCTTTTGCGAGGGATTCTTTTAATAACCATAAAGTCCAGCCAAATCGATAACGTGTTTCAAGTCATGAATTTATATACATACTGTATAGATTATTAGTTCAAATTTAAGTATGCAATGCAAATACAACTTTTATAACGTAACCAAGTTGAACTCGAATATTAAATCAAGTGTTATACATAATTGTCGAATACGGATTACGAACCGCAATGAGTGTTCAGATCGCAATGTTTATTCGTTATCAAGAAAACATCAATTTTACAAAAATACGTAACAAAAAAATTATTAATGCAGAATTGACGAACAATATGAGCATACGTATAAAAAAAGCAGTGACCACTCGATGTAGCAATAATGAGAGAGTCTTCCTTACGTGGTCAGACCATAAATAATAACTAGTTTCGAATATTGATGTTACTATATATAGAAGAGAGAGAGAGGACTGAATATAAGTAATTGGATTTCTAGTATAATGTTTATTTTTGTTATTTAATTCAATACGTACATTGCTTCTAATAAGCATTTATTAGTAATAATTATCATAAATTTTTTTGGTAGCATCCAACATCCCGACAACGGGATAAATCCGACAAACGAATCCTGAATCACGCTATCCCGAAGATTCAAGATCCGATACATGTATTTTACAAATTAAAATTAGAATTAGAGCTAAAGATTAGTGTCATGATTATACTGTAAGTGTCGGAAGTTTTGATTGAATTTTATAATTTCATGTGGAAGTGCATGTATATTTTATTTAAAATACTTGTTTCGTTTTTTATTGTTATGCCTGCAATTGGCAAGATGAACCTGTACTATATCGGTGTTAAAAGAAAAAACCTCTTACCATTTGCGTTAGATTTTTTAACTTTATTGAGTTGTCTATTCTTTAAAAAACTTTGTATACAGTACATGTACTAGTATAGTAACGTAGAACAAAATAATAAAATATTTTTTCCGAGAAACTACTACGTTATGTAGTCACGTTTTATCACACTATCGCTAAATACGGGTCGGAGTTTCAATATCGATATACTTATTTGAACCTATTATGAATTATTTACAAATAATACGAATAACCAACCTATTATATGTATGAATTATTTACAAATAATAACGAATGGCTGTCAGTCATTGAGCCAACAGTAATCGATGCACATGAACATGTACACGTACATGTATTACATAATAATACAATCATGCTGCAATTCTTTGATTTAATGCATAAAAGGAAGGATCTCGGATATTTGATTTTGTATTTAAAATCTTTGTTCTCGTCTTTGATCGTTTGAATATTAATAATCAATAATAATCATATTTATTATTTCCCTCGTAAACTTTATCCAGTTAAAATGTCAAACATTGCTACCTCTAATGGTGTATTTGATGCCTCGTCTATAACCCAGGTAAAAAAATACATCGCCAACAAAGTATTAAATCTTGATTACGAAGTCGATCATTCTCGATTATCCGAGTGTGCGGCAGAAATTGCAGTAACTGTATTTCCGAAATGGAATAAAAATGATTTGGAATTCACCCAATTTACTAATGGTCTAACCAATAAATGTAAGATTTGGGAAATTGCCAATATATTATATTTAATATTAACTTTACCAATTTCTAAGTGATAAAATGTAGAAACAAGGTAGAAAACGTCATACTTCTTATCCGTGCCTATGGAATGATGACTGAAGTATTTTTGAATCGAGAGCAAGAAATTCAGGTAAAATTCTAATTAAATTTTTCACAATTTTCACCTAATCCCAACACTTATTTTAAAAGTTTGTAAATAGAATATGGTCTCACTTTCGCACTTAGGCTTCTCTGCTCCAATATACGCGAAATTCAAAAATGGGCTTGCATATGGTTATGTTCCCGGCCGACCATTAACTCTCGAGGATTGTAAGAAGCCACAAATTTATTCACTAATTGCGAAGAAATTAGCCGAATTACATCGTCTTAATCTTCCTGGTTCCCGAGAACCGATGGTGTTTCCTACCATTCATGATTGGATTCGTAAAGGTGAAAGTGAAATCCGAATAGAAATATACGTGTGAAGACTGTTCGTAAAGATATATTAATGTAGTATATTTTTAAATATCATATCTTTCAAAAAATAGTTCCGCCGCGGTATACGAATCAAAAATTTCAAGCGCAATTCGAAAAAGACATTAATTTGCCGCAGTTGATAAAAGACGTATGTAATTTTTTAAAATTTACAAAGTCGATTTCAAATTGACCATTACTGAGGATGCAAAACAATTGAAATCCCTAGATTAATCATTTGGAGAAAAAAATTTTAGAACTCAATGCGCCCGTAATGTTTTGTCACAACGATTTATTAAACTTGAATATAATTTACAATGAAGACGAGAACAAAGTTTCTTTTATTGATTACGAGTACGCTTGTTATGGATACCGAGGATTAGATATCGGGCTACACTTTCTCAATTTTGCAGGTACATGTAGTTAATTAAGGTTTTTGATAGATAGGAAATATATTTACATTTATGAATTTTTTACAAAAATATAGGTTTCGAAGCTAATTGGCATTTATGCCCGACTAAAGATTATCAAATTAAATGGCTTCGACAATATCTTCTGGCATATAATTCAGGTAATTATTACGAATTAAATATCGAATGTTTTTGTATAAAGTTGTAAAAGACGTTATAATTTTCAATTTATAGGAACCACCGAGGTAACAGATTACGATGTTGAGCTTCTTTACCGAGAAGTTAAAAAATTTGAATTAGTCGGTCTTATTCATGTTGGATTATGGGCCTTAGTAAGTATACCTTGCTCCCTTTATTTTATCCCCAAACAATTATTGATTATTTTTTTCTAAATTTTAAATAGCTTCAATCTGATTTATCGGATCTTGATTTCAATTTTATGGGTTATGCTGTTGAAATTTTTAAAGAATTTTATCGTCTTCGTGATCACGAGAAAATCTTGAAACTTTAATCAGGATTACAACACTTATATTTATTGTAATTTAAAAAACTTAGATTTAGTTGGGATTATTTTAATTTATTTGATTAAGTTTCTTTGAAAATAATAACGAATAACTAAAAGTTTAATGAGAGTGAATTTTACGTCTCATTAGCACATTTCAATCCAAAACATCACTCTCATTTCCCCAAACAAAATATCTAACATGGGCTTTTACCCGATCAGAAATTATTTACCGCTTTCAAAGAAGCTTAGACGTTGACATTTGATGTTAAATTCAAATTTAAGCAATTTTTGGACTCGCAAGAAAATATATAAAAGAATTCACTTTCTCAAATTGAAATAAATAGTTTTTGAATTAAAAATATAATTAAAAAGCTTATTATAATAATAGTAATAACACAAATTTATTACATGTATAGCTTCGCAAATTTGACCTATCAGAATTAATATTTTGGAAAAAAACTAGTCATTATCATATGCCTTCTCTAAGAATAACACATGTAATAGAGATTTAGCCAAATTATAATATTTGTTTTTAATATAAATAGATATAGAAACAAAAGTTGCAAAAATCAGATATCAATTAGTTAAGTTTTGAAAAATTGAATTCTTTATTACTACTAATAAAGATAATACTTTTTGCTGTACATATATGAAATTAATTTTTCATATATACTCATGAATTGTGAATTATTTTTAAATAATCATCTATATAATATATGCAAAAACTTATTATTACTTATTATGGATTGCTAAATATGAAATAGAATATGCTAATTACAAAAAATATAAATATTAATAACATTTCAGAATTGTAAGAACAACTTTATTTTATAATTTGTTAATAATAATAATAATAATAATATGAGTAATATCTCTTTTTTTATTATAGTATTAAAATAATTTAAACAATATTGTAATAAACTTGAATATAATTTCATTAATAGATAGACTTGATGATTTTTATAAATTTTTTAATATGTATTGTATAAAATTTTAATATTACAGTCCCTAGTGAAAAGAATGACGGTGAACGTTTTCGCCTATATTTTAACAATGAAGCGTCCAATACTTATGAAAATTTGTAGATATATTCTTTAGGATATTACGAATAAGATTCTCTAATAGCACAAGATATGTTAGCTTAATAAAATTTTGCGGAATTTTGCATCAAATGTGGTGAATTAGGTGTTTACATGAATAACTTTGAAAAAAAAATTATTTAAAATTATTTCTAATAAATGATTTTGAAAATATTTTTGTAAAAATATATTTTAAAATATAAAGAATATATTTATAAGTTTAAAAAAAATTTTATTACATACTTATTTAATAAATACCAGTTAAAAAAAGACTTTATTTTGATGAATTTTATAATAAATCATAATAAAATCCATTTTTACTATAATTTCTTATAAAAATTATTAAAATAAAGCCTTTTTTTAATTGGTATTTATTAAATAAATATGCAATGAAAATTTTTTTAAACTTACAAATATATTCTTTATATCTTAAAATATATTTTTACAAAAATATTTTCAAAATTACTTATTTAATAATTTCTTTTTCAAAGTTCTTTCATGTAGACACCTAATCTACCACATTTGATGCAAAATTCCGCAAAATTTTATTAAGCTAACATGCCTTGTGCTATTAGAGAATCTTGTTTGTAATATCCTAAAGAATATATCTACAAATTTTCGTGAGTTTTGGACGCTTCATTGTTAAAACATAGGTGAAAACGTTCACCGCCATTCTTTTCGTCGAGGACTGTAAATCTATAATAAATATAATTATTTATTATATAAAAAAATATGAAATAATAAAATTAAAATTAATTATTTTAATTCTAATTTTAACTCTAATTCAATTTTATTTTATATATTATGATCTTTTTTTTATTTTATGCTTAATTAAATTTATATTTTTTATTTATATATTTTTAGATTTGTTTCTTATTTTTTTATTTAATTCATAGCATAATTAATAAGATCAATTTTATATTAATTATATTATGCTTAAACTAGATTTTTATAATAAAATTTTTGAAATATTGCATATAAATAGACTTTTAAATTTTATTTTTATTATTTTTAACTAATAATTTAAACTAGAATTTTATAATTGAATCTTGAGATACTAAATATATAAAATTAAGATATATGTATAAAATAAGAGCTTAAATTTTATTTTAATTATAAATTATTATTAAAAAAACATAAATTTTTATTCTGAAATAAGAATTTTATAATAAAATTTTGAGATATTGAAATTATAGAAAAAGGATAATTAATAAAATAAGCAAATTTATCTTATATTTATCAGAAAAGTATAATTTGATAATAAAGATATAATTCTATATTATAAATTTTTTAAAATTACTCAATATTTTACTTAATACATTTATATTTAATTTGTTACAAATTCTTTTTAAACAATTAATATATCTTTTACTTAAGTCATATCTTTTTATATTGTATAATAGTTTGAAAAATTCAATTTTTATAGTGAAAAGATGTCTAAATTAATAAAAATGATGGAAAACAACAATCTCTAATTTTAACAATTCTAATCTTTAGCTCTAACCTCACTTTTTGGTTATCATGTGTTACAGATCTCTTGCTTAATCATATGCTTAATGATCATGTACACCATTTTTATAATAACACCAATAATATTGATAGGAAAACATAATGCATTTTACATGTAAAATGTACGCCAGCCTCATTCAAATAATAAAAAGCCCTTCTTTGATGCATGTAATGCCCACAAATGGATGGATAGCATAACGATAAATAATTACATGTACACGTACATGTAAACACATGTAGAAAGCTTTTTGTCACACATTATATTATCATTCATACACTATACCATACCATAACGATAATTGTACATGCATAACGATTTATCTACATGTGCAAAGTTTTTATGTCAACAATAACGATAGCATCCACAATCCACAACTTAAAGTACTAACGTGTATATTTACGAATAAATCCTGCTATATAAACGCATGATTAGTGCTTTATTATTTTCAAAGAATTTGCTACTCTTAAATGCTATCGTGATAATTTCGACGATATTATTGATTACGGAATAACTCTACAAACGAATATTCGATAGTGATGGAATCGCATGATTGTAGTGAATGTTTTAATTGTCAAAGCAATAAGGACTGCAGACAATGTTTCTTCTATCACAAACGAATTTATAACGATGAATTGTCTAGCGGAGATAAAGATATCGACAATCTAATAAAAGAATGTAACAAAACTAATTATGAGCATGAAAATATATTCGAATATTCGAATGGATACCTTTTGAAAGATTTACCAACGTCGAATATTTTGCAAAAGGAGGTTTTGGCACAATTTATAAAGCAACTTGGTTGGATGGACCATTATATTCTTGGGATCATGAAGAAAATAAATTTAAACAAAAAGGAGGAAGAGGAGTTGTGTTGAAAACATTACACAATTCAACTCCAGAGTTTATATACGAGGTAAATGAACGTTTTCTAAAGTGAAAATTACATTTTGTTCTAATAAAATCAAATTTTCAAAATTCAAAAATAGATTCAGACTACTCTTGTTTGCACTGACTTAAATTATACTCAATATTATGGAATAACTAAAAACGCAGCTACAAGCAAATATTCAATAGTGATGGATTATGCAGAAGATGGTGATCTTCGTAAATATATTAATTCCAACTACGAAACATTGACTTGGTATCAAAAATTAGACTATCTATTTTGGATTATCAATGGTCTGAAAAAAATTCACGAAGAGAGATTTGTGCATCGTGACTTTCATCCTGGAAATATATTATTAATGAAAAAGTTGGACATTATGAGTTTTCCTCAAATTGTTGGTTTTGGACTTAGCATTCAACCAGATATAGTAAAATCTAACCAAGAAATTTATGGAGTTCTTCCTTATATGAGTCCTGAGGTGTTAAATGGAAAGCCATACACTAACGCTGCAGATATTTATAGTTTTGGAATGGTTATGTACGAGATTATAACTGGTAAACCGCCTTTTGGTGAACGAAGTCATGGTAGAGATCTCGTATTAGATATCTATAAAGGAGTACGACCTACGATACCAAACAATGTTCCCGGATGGTGCAAGTTTATTATTGAAAAATGTTGGGATCCTATTCCAGAAAACAGACCAACTGCAGAGGGACTGAAAGACTTTATAAGATTAATTTATGAAGATGATGAAGCTTATTGGGAATTGAATACTTTGCACTTTCAGTATTACAGCACTTTAGATTATCTTAAAACAGAAAAAGAAATCAAAGAGTGTGTTAAACTAGAGAGACAAAAATTGAAAGAACTTGATGAGGAGATGAAGTCACAAAAAAGCATTCCCGCAAATATAAACAAAAAACAACAAATCCACTCAAATGCAATTTACACCAGTCGAATGTTTACTTCGAAATTAATATCAATTCCAACTGTTACAGGTATGCACACTTATTTTTATATTCAAACAAACAAAATGAAATTCAGATTGATTTTAGATATATCAAACATTTAGATTCTATAAGTGTTAGTTTGTATGTTCCAAGTGAAGGTAAACTTACATTTGATATTCTACTTTTATCACTTTCCTTGATTTAATCTTTTCTTTGGTGATAAAAAACAGATTCCGATGTCAATATATCACACGAAATTAGTCTTACACGTGAAGATGATCAATCTGTTTCAACTCCTCCCGCTAAATCACCAGCACCAACAACAATAACCATGGAATGAAAGTCTTAAACGAGCAAGGTAACAATTCTTTTCGATATTAATGTGTTGGTTCCACTGCTGCCAAATAAGACGCCAAATGTTCGTATAACGATAAATGCAAGCATCACATATATATATTAATTTATTTACTAATATCTTATTTTTTTTGATTTAATGCTCCCGTGCGGGAAACAGCCTCATGATTAATTTTTAATATATATTTTAGCTCGTGGTGGCAAAATATTAAATCCAGATCGAACAC